CATAAATCAAACTTCTTTTTAAATCGGAGGCCAGAGCATATGCGTCCCATTAGAAATCGGTCGAAGCCACCGCTGTGCGGACGCGCCCCCTCAGCTCGCTGGGCCGCCTTAGGCCCTGCCCCGAGCTTCCCGTAGCCTGGTGGGCGCCCTACCCCTCTCTCGTGCGCCCTGCTCTGTGCACTCCCTAGGCCTTGATACCTGGGCGCTCTGCAACCTAAGAGCACATAGTGCGCGCCCTCCTCGCCTCCAGGAGAGGCGTCAAGAGAGCAGAGTTCAAGGCCTCCAGGCGCCTCAGGATGGCGCGAATGATCAGAGACTTTGGGGGGGGGCGCAACCTGGGTACGCTATCTGGTGGGGCGCAGCATGCACGTGTCTGCCAGTGAGGGTGCTGGGAAGCAAATGTATGCGTGTGTATCTCCTTAGTGTGGCAAGGCCGCGAGCGCCGCGTGGGTTAATATGGCTTAGGGAGATCTCCCGCTGATCCAGAATCCTGCTGGGACGCGTAGGAAATCTTCGCTTTGACTGGCTAGCTCCGGTCCCTGCCCTCGGTGCACACAGCCTAAACTGCAAAGGCAGTCGGATCGCGCTCTCTCGGACCACCTTTTCTCTGACTCTAAGCTAAAATTCCTCATTGCCACAGCTTCCTCCCAGGTGTTCTATCTCGGCGGTTTAGACCAGCAAAGTGATCCAAAGGCCCCAGCTTCTGTACACGCAGGACACTCAGAGCCCCACCCTGGGACCCTCTTGCCACCTCCCCCTCCCTCCCTCCTACAGCAGTAGTGGCTAAGAGTTCCCCTCCCGCACCCTCCACCCGCCACCGGCGGCACTCACAGGTAGCTGCCGCTGGACAGAAGGAGAAAGATCTGCGGGCAATAGACGGAGACCAGCGCGCTGCGCGGCGACAGGAGGAGCATGATGGGCCGGCGCGCTTGGCTGGGCTGGACAGGCCCCACCCGCAGGGCTCCTGCGCCAACCAAGGCTGGGGTCTCTGCGGCCCTTCCTGATACAGGGCAGCAGCGCTGGGCGCTAGGGGCCAGGACTCGGGAGCCAGGGGACAGTGGTCGCCCGTGTCTCGACGCCAGGACCGTGCATCCTGCTGTATCTGGGGCAGCAGCCGGCGCTGGGGCTGAAGTTCAGGGCGGGGGCCCAGCGGGGGACAGTGGGCGCGCCTTAGCCGCTCTCTGGTCCTCTGTCCGTCTGTCGGTGCTAACAGGCTCTGTCGCTCACTCTGGCTCAAATCTCCAAGTCTCCCGAAGCGCGCAGCTGCCATTGGACAGGCCGTCCCTACATCCGCCTCCTCCGCGGGCGGGTTTTTTTTTTTTTTAAGGGGAGGTTGACCAGAGTGTGCAGCGGGTGCCGCCCCCAGGGTTTGCCCAAGTTGCCTTGGCCAGGATACCCTCGCCACAACCTTTGGCTAGAAACACCGCTACTGAGAGCGCATCTCCGGGAGGCACTGCGCGGAGGCGTGTGTGCCTCTTAGGGGCTGTGCTCAGCAACGTGTGCTCATGTGTGCATGCATGTGCTTGCATGTTCCTGCCGGAGCATGGGCGGTCTAGGAGCCTGCAGGTGTGTGTGCACAGATGCCCGGTGTGTGTTGCCCCTCTGCCTGCATGCAGCCTGGCTAGGGATGGCTGGGTGTGGGTCCCTCTCACTGCACCTGGGCCAGCCCTGTTCTGGGGCTCCGGTCTGGTGCCTAAACCACCCCCTTCATGCACCTCTTTGGATAGGAAGGCAGGGGAAAGCCCCCAGTTGCTGCTCTCATCATTTAGTGCCCTCACATCTAACATCTTCATCTCTAGGAGTTGGTTGGGATGGGTGAGGAGAGATCCGTCTAAAGAACTCTCCCTTTTCTAGTAAACTATTTTTCAGAGCCTACAAATAGATTTTTGGGTCCTATCCCCTATTTCTGCTAAGCCTGGCTGTATTGGAATGTACTTATATAGAAGTGTACATCAGCTAGGGGAAGTCTCAGATCAAGGGGACAGCAGGGAGTTGGGGGCTGCATGTGGTACAGTGGTGGTCCTAAAGAATGGACTGTTGGCTCCTGGGCTTGGCAAGGAGATTCGTGGGCATCCAGGAAGCAGGAACCTCCCTTACTTCAGACCTCCCTGTCCTTTTTAAATTTTATTTTACTTTATTTTTATCACTTTGCTTTTCCTGACCACAGCAGCATGAACAAGCCTAGGGCAGGGCTGCTCCTGGCATCTCAGTGACCTTGGCTGCTCCCTATCTCACCTGGGCCTCCCCCTAGAACAGCAGCTCCATCCATGGGGACCTTAGGTTAGCCACTGTGATTCCCTAATGCCATTATGCTTGGAACTAGCTGAGAATCCAAGGCACTTCTGTTCTGGGATTTGGGGGGCTAGCTTCTGGCTTCTGCTAGTATGGGAGGTGGGTATGTGGGATGAATGCACTGGACAGGATTTTTGGAGGTCCCATTGCACATACAGAAAGGTGCAGGAGAGGCAGGCGGGGGGGGGGCTGAGATCACAAAAGACCTTCTCCCTGGAATAAACTATATGGAGGAGTCCCCTGTGGGTGCCACAACATTCCACCATCATTACTTAAGGTCAGGCAAAAACCATCAGAAATAATGCCTCAGCAGCCCAAAGGAGGGTTTACCATCACGCCACTATTTTCAGATGAGGGTGAGAGGCTGCTCTAGGGTAAGAGTTCATTGAGGCACCTGCCAGAAGTGATGTGAGATGCCTGCTCCAAAGAGATCTCAACCCACTAGGCTTCCACACCACCTATCCCTTTAGGATCACATGTGGGCCCAGCTGCCTTTCCTGCCCACCTAATGGAGGACACACACACACAGAGAGGGGCGGGGGAAGAAATTACAAAGAGGTCCAAGTTCCCCCTTTGCCGGTTCCAGGGTGAGTCCCTGCCTTCCCTGGCAGTCATTCCACTAGGTCTTGGAATCTTTTATTTTAAGCTGGGGGGGAGGCAGTTTCTGAAGGGAAAAGAATTCCCCTCCTGTGCTCTTGGGCAGAGCAGGAACCATGAAGAGGAAAGCTTGCTCAATCCCAGAAGGTAGTGGTCATGGACACTAGGAGCCCAGGCTGGGCTGGAAGAGAGAGACCTTCAGGGTCTCACTTACCCATTCTCTACTCAACACTGTGCTATTCAGATGTGCTATTCAGAACAGCCAGAGCCAAAAATCCTACTTCCAGAAGCTGAAGGAAGAGGTACAAAGATGAAACCCAGAAGCCACTCCAGGGAGACCCCCAACCTCGGTAACCCAGGTCCTTCTTCTGGTACCTTTTTCCATTTGCTGGGTAGGAGGCTTTTTCAGAGGCCTCTTGTTGAAGAATTGGTGCTAAGGAAGACTGGCCAGCGGTGGAGGTGGAAGCCAGAGCCGGTGGAGTCAAGCACCCAACTCAAAGGCCTCGGTGCCAGAGCTAGGTAGCTGGGACCAGCCTGGATTCTTGTCCCGAAGGGCAGGGCAGTGGATCCCTTCGCAGGCCCAGGAGGATCATGGCACGCTGCTGAGAGTCCAGGAAGCCCTGGCCTGCCCACCCCGCCCCCACCCCTAGCAGGCTCAAAGCCGGCACCCCTCACCTTCATAAACAAACACCCAGGGACACAGCCTACCCACACAAACCTACAATAAACACAACCACCAGCAGCCGCGGACACTCCGGCCCAGGACTGCAGGAATAAGGCTAGTAAGGGACTTCCAACCCTGCCTCTGAGGCCACCTTGGTTTCTGCCCCTCTCTGGGCCTCAATTTCTTCACCTGTAAGATGGCGGAGGTGCAAAGGGCTGGGAGGGGTGCTGATCTTCAGCTACTGTTTCTACCTGTCGCCTGGAAAGCCAGTCTCCCAGGTACCGGAACCCGCCCCTCCTACAGGTCTGGTCACTGGCCTTCCCTGGGCCAAGATGAGGCTGGCCTCTGAGGTCGGGTGGCGCATAGTAGGAGCACGGGGCGCGGCGGGGAGCAGATGCACACAGGTGCTCGGGGTCAGGGTGGAGGTCTGGGCCAGACCGCCAAGAGTGACTAACACCCGCGAGGTGCACAGCGCTCCTTTCGGTCACACTGCCCCTCCACCCCCAATCCGGGGAGGCCGAGACAGATTCTGTCTAAAGGAGATCGCGGCTCAACAGGTAAGGACTCGGCTAGGTTCAGGAATGTGGAAATACGACTC